ATGCCAAACAATCTGAATGACACCCAAGTGAGAATGTGTAATCTCTATCTTTAACCAGTTATTTAGATATTACCTAATTTACCTCTATGTGTCTATTGATATAAGTCATAGAGGCCATTAATGACCTCTAGTTGGCAGGTTAGCAAAAGTCAGTCTTCTGAGGCCCCCTCATCTTGAGCCTATGGAGAAAGTGTCAATCTACTCCACCCAAAGAGCAATCTGGAGGGAACAGTTCATATGAACATCTCCTTGGACTCCACGACTGGAGGCTACGGGATCTAACATTTATTCACCATTGTCTCCTGGAGACTGTGCGCAGGTGGCTCTGGCCCTGAGAAATACATTCACCTTGGGTTGACAGTGCATAGAGAATATCATCATCATCCCAGCAACGTTTTCTCATTCTGCTGGGGACTGTGGGAAGAGAGCTGTAATCAGCATGGTGACACCTTCTACCTTATCTAGTCAAACAGATAAGGAGATATATCGTCATCCAAATATTGCAGGGACTGTGGGGACAGGAGAGTCATCACCCTAGGAATACCCTCTGTCCCTGCTGGTATTTCATGTTGATCAATATATAATAATTAATAATAATTACTTACACTTATATAGCATTTTTCTGGACACTTCACTCAAAGTGTTTTAGAGGTAATGGAGACTCCCCTCAACAACCACCAATGTGCAGCATCCACCTAAATGATGTGATGGCAGCAATAGTGCACCAGAACACTCACCACACATCAGCTATCAGTGGAGAGGAGAACAGAGTAATGAAGCCAATTCCTAGATGAGGATTATAAGGAGGCCATGATTGGTAAAGGCCAATTGGAAATTTGTCCAGGACACCAGGGTTACACCCCTACACTTTTCGAGAAATGCCCTGGGGTGACCACAGAGATACAGGACCTTGGTTTTATGTCTCATCCAAAGGACGGCACCCTTTTACAGTATAGTGTCCCCGTCACTATACTGGGGCATTAGGACCCACACAGACCGCAGAGTGAGTGCCCCTACTGGTTCCACTAACACCTTTTCCAGCAGTTACCTCTGTTTTTCCCAGGAGGTATCTCATCCAGGTACTGACCAGGCTTATACCTGTTTAGCTTCAGTTGGTTGCCTGTTAAGAGTTGCAGGGTGGCAACTGGACAATACCTTATCATATGCACTTATATATATATATCTTATCACCTTAGTCAGAGACAAGACAGGCAGCCTTTCCATGCTCTAATTCCACATTATTCATAATGTTCTTCACCAAACCTTTTTGTGGGCAATATATTTTATGTCCTGACCTGTAAGGTTCTCTGCTTCTCTTCTGTCTCTTACATTCATCATCAAAAATTCATAGATATCTTGCTGAGACTATCTTGCTCTTTTCACCTGTAATCTTATATCCAGTTTTCTGTGTCTAGCCTGATTCGAGTGAAAAGCATGCAAAAAGTTTGCCTTGTTTTTTTTCTGCCACTGGGTCAACTGCAGCTCAGCAACATCCATCAATGTCAGAACAGAACTCTCTCTGCACATTTTATTAGCACACAACAGTGCTTCAACAACTTCCATGCTTTTTACAAAAAGGTCATGTTTTAAATTTTTTTGGTCATTTCTTTATTTCAGTTGGACAATCTATTTATTTTCCTTTTTCTTCCCTCCTGTTCTGCAGCAGGTATGCTGTTGAAGTTGTAGGGGTTTTGTGCATTTAATGGGACAATTATTAATTGTAGCAGTAAGTCACAAAATGATTATTTGATGCCTATTAGAAAACCAACCTTGTGGAATAACTCAGCAATGCACACACACAGATACTAATACACGAGCATACATTTATTAATATATAAAATGTGCATATAAACATAACAGATCTTATAGTGAGGGTTAGCAGAATACAAAAGGTATATATTCAATAACGAAGAGTAACTAACCAAGAGAGACATTCATTCAGTATACCATTCATTTATACTGTTTGGTTAATGAGCTTTGATTACAACGTCTACACTAGATACTCAAGAGCAAGTACAACACTCATAGGAATTAAATTGATATCAACTCAGGTTGAGGTAACAATTGAATTCTTGAGCTGTAATGCAGAATGTTGAATACTCATCCAATCTGTGTTGATTAAGATCTCCCACGGACACAAAGGAACACCGGCAGGCTGTTGCTGCATCCAATCGGCATCCTTTGGCCCAGTGCCTGGCAGTCCTGGTGTGGCTGGAGGTGTGGGAGAAGGAGGCAGAAATTCCTGCTGCAGCGCGCTGGCAGTGGGCTCTCTGAAGACTGGCTAGTTAGTCCTGGTTTAACTAGCAGAGATTGTGCACATGAAAAAGTGACTTCGGGCTAACCTTGGGCAGATCCTTTGGTTACGTGCAGGCGACCTCAGGTCTCGACTCTTAGAACAAAGTAAAGTCCTGGCAGTCGGACACACTAGCTGTCACGTGATTGTCCGAGCTGAATCTGAGAAGTCCTGGAGGGGCCCCTTCTGGGTCCTGTGCTGCCTGTTTTATCTGGAAGAACTATGGTCGTTCATTGGTTGAAAGTTTCGTGGGCATTCGAGACCCACGTGGGGTTACCCTGCCCTACCAGTACCTGATCGAGGTGGAGGATGAGTAACAATGCACTCTGACCTTAAGGTTGTAAACCTTGGGATGAGACTCTCCCTTGGAATCTCCTGGACAGTAAGGCGCCAGAGATGACCTTTCATTAAGGTGGCTGGAGAATCTCAACCTTGGGAGTTGTTCCTTATCAGGAAACTATCAGATAGAAAAACACCTTAAATCTGAACCAAATGAAATGGCCTCTCTGTATCTAGCACCACTGAGATGAGGGAGAGAGAGACTGACAAGGGAGCAGCAAACTTAATTCCTGTATTATTAATAAGCCTTGATGCTTATTACAAAATAAAAGATGTCAATTACTGTACATAAGAATTCAGACATAAAAATTAAATATTTGTTGGAAGCACCATTGGCAGCAATTACATATTTAAGTGTTTTTGAGTCTCTCCCAGCATGGATTGGCAACTCCTCCAGGGTGTATCCTGCCTTGCTCCCATTGCTTGCTGGAAAGGCTCTATCCCCCCTGGAATGAAATCACATTTCTTGGGAAATGCTAAATGTTAAATTACTAATTTAAGTATGTTCAAAACATGATTGTAATTTCTTGTTTTTCAGAATGTATTCTTGGGAATCAAAAACTTTATTTTCTCAAGATTATAATTAGTATTGTTGGTGACCTGAAAACCATGGAACACATCATGCTTGAAATGAAATTTAAACTGGCATCAGAGGAATTGTTCACTGCACCTGCTGCTTCTTTGATGCTTAAAGTACACTCCAATGATCATATTCATATATCTCAAGCAGGTCAACAGGCACAACACAAAAATCAAAAAATGTTACATGAACTGGAGAGAACGGTTTACACACCAACCACAGAGATTTCCCTAAAAATACAGTCAGATAGTATATCAGCAAACCCTCTCACTGATGCTGACAGTGAAAAAAAGAAAAAAAATGAAATGTCCTAAATCAAGCTCAGAATGGAATGGTACAAAAAAAACAGAAGAGGATGACACAAATTACATCAGGATGAACCAAACTGTCCATGATGCACCAACAGATAATGATTATAAAGCACTAAATAATAAAAATGTGATACATGAAGTTGACGAGAGAGCTGCAAAAGACACCAGAGTGTGCTCCACTCAAATGTAAGCAAACAACCTTAAAGATTTGGTAGATTTTATATTAAGCTTCAATATAAAAATGTTTTAAGAACAGCACTTGCATGATTTTTGCTTTTACAGAAAATTATCAGGGAATCTTTTATTATTATGTTTTCCTTCTCAGCCTACATTTTTCAGGGGATATATATATATAGGATATATGATATATGCTGTATAAAAATCAAGTTAATAAGTTGTTTACAATGATATTCATAAAACTAAAACACAAATGTTGAATGAACAAAAATTGTACATTTGTCCAGAGTTAGACCTCCAAACATATAATGTCTGCAAAAAGTATTGGGAGAGCACAATCAAGACTGATATGATTGATAGTCAAACAAATTGTATTTGTCATCACGAGATTAATGAGTAATAAGCAGAATATAGTATACATCTTATTTTTGCTTGATTCTGTTTGGTTAGATTTCAACAATATATTTTTTGTTCAACCCGGCATCATCAGAAGTACTGAGATTCAATTACGTTAACTACATTAAGGATTGTAAAAGTTCATATTAAGTTGCGTACCCATTAAGGCGTATAGCTTTATAACATTCCTGAGGCAATAACTTTGAGTTATTCTTGATGGAAGTGTCAGACTAGTGATCTTCTGCAGGTACTGTCACTGACTTTGCCTTCTAGCAATTTTTAAAGGTTCTAGGCCCCTTCCACCCACACAGGTTGTCACTCCAGAATCACAGGTGCACCTGCAGCCCAGCACAAGAGAGGTATATAACATAATTCCAGTTCTTATTTCCCTAGCAATGGGAAATTTTGCTTAACAAAACTGCCGCAAGAATAAATATGCAATGCAGAGTGTAAAATGGTATTTGGTATTATGCAAATATGAACAGTATAAGTACAGTTTTATGATTTTTAACTTGAAATGTATCATTTTGATTCTACTTTTTCACAACAACTTACATTTTCTTGTTTTTGAATTTAATAATATCTTAAATAAAAAGCCCTATGAGTTTCTCAACACAGGGTAAAGCTTCTTAAAATATCTGTGCCAGATAACTGAGCCAGAATTTGCACGATTGATTTACATGTATTTTATTTATACAGCATGCTTATGACATTTCTGAATGAGTTATTCTTGAATTAACAAGTAAAAGTGAAAATAGATGTTTTTTATATTAGTGTTTGCTGTTAAGCAATGAAAAAAATCTTACTATTTTCAAATAAATTGCATGTTATTTAATGCATTCTGTAAGAATGTGTTTTTAATCCACATAATGTACTTTATTTTTCTTAGTTTTAATCTTTTTAGCGTTCCTTTGCAGACGTTAAAGCGGGTAAAAAACTGGGTCTGTTTTCAGTTGTTTCGTGTTTACGCAAAGAAAATTTAACTGTTGCCAGAAAGGGACTATCTTTAAAATTGAGCATGGATACAAGATTTCCATAGACCTCCCTGGATCTTTTAATGCTCCGGTAATTGTTCAAATAATGGTAGGTATTGCATCACTTGCATCACAATTGTAAGTCACTTGCAATTAATGTGCTTACAATTTAATGACTCCACTGACTCCACTGACTTTATTATGTTGTAGTTATACTCTATTTATCTTTATGATACAATTGCATCATAAGTTCCAAAAGAAAAGCAAAAAAAACTTGTACAACTTAAGATACAGTATGTGATACAGTATGTAATGAAAATGTTTTAGCATGTTTCTGCTTATAATCTTGTATCAATATGTTGTCTCTGTCATGGTACACTTAGACCAAAATCTAAAGGACACTGAACAATCTCCATTTTTTACTTGTATTATTTTCCTGGGATAATGAAAGGGAGTTTAACCATATTGCTGATTACTTGAATTCTTCACTTCTAAATCTTAATGATTTTTATTGGCAATTAACATGTAGATGTATTTTTCTTTATATTCTTTTAAAGATTAGGCTAATGAGCCAAACTCTTTGTTATTTGTTTTGAAAACAATTGCAACCCTGTCTTAAAATAGTATCAGTTATATTTCTTGCTATTAAAAACATTTTATTTTCCTTTAGGTCCAGCCTATAGATGCATCACTGATGGCTACATTGAAATCAAAGAGTGATGCATACCACTATGTTGTTTCTTCAAGCCCTACAGCCCTTTTGTAAACCAGTCACTTTTACTCTTCCCTGCTTCCCAAATTCAGAAAAAAAGAAGCAAGGTGAAGAAACAGATCAGGCAAGACCAATGAGGTAATCAGTTCCCAGAAACAGCCCTATTAAGGGAGTAAGGTAATCCAATTAAAGTTATTATTCATGTCATACAGTATGCTACCATGGAGATTTTGTTTTTACTCTTTCAAGGATCAGAGATATTCTACCATACTTCATACATTGTGGGAAGTAGGAAAATTGGATTCAATTGTAAAGGAAAATTATAAATTTTAAAAACTTCCTTTAAAATTAATGTCATCATCATCTGCTACTTTGTTTAAATACTTGTTTTTTTACAAGCAAGCAGGGGAATGGCTGCAGGCCAGATAGTGCAGAAGATCGCAATGCACACATTACACTTCAACCCACTGCACTGCCCTTTTAAAAAAAAATTGTTGTGGGACTAAGCACTACTTTGTAAAACCACTAGGTGGTACAATGAAAGTTTAACGTGGCGTGTAGAAGCGTTTGAGCTGTTGGCAGAAAATGCCTGTTTTTTAATTCTGAGCCCCTTGGCATAATCTTTACAATTATAAAATGTAAGCTGTATAGTGTTTAGACTTTTATTATTTTTATACTGTACTGTAAATATGAAAAAAATAGTGTATTATTATAGCTTGCTGTGAATGTGATGTAATTCAGGTTTAATCCACATTAAAATAATCTATATTTTGTCTTATGGACATTTCAGCAGCAAGTAACAAGGAAATAATTTAATTTATAATTTTGATTATGAATATATTTCAGACATACTGTGCTGTAGTGGATTTAAAACGATACAGTACCATACTGTATTTACTGTGTATACCGTACATTTATATACTGATTATATAATTCTGCAGTTGATTACTGCACAATACAATATAAGAATACATTCTTGACATGCCATTTGCACAAATCACATGAAGTCATATCCACAAATATACTGACCAATAGCATACAATTAACTGAGGGTATACTATATAAATATACTGTATATACATTAAATACAGCATAATACTGTATGGTTTTAAAGCCACTACAGTACAGTATGTAAGAAATGTATTTATTTGTACTGTACCCAAGTGTACTTTGGTCACAGCGCGATACATTACAAACTATGAGCATTTCATTGTCTACTGCAACACCATCGGCAGCAAAAATGTAGTTAAAACGAACATTATAATGTTTCCAAAACAACCACAAATTAACAAATTAAAGAATTCAATGCAGATCTGTACGGAGAAGGTGGAACACCCTACCACAATCAGCTAAATAAATATATCTGTATCCATAAATTAATATCATTAGTGATGTTCAGGAAACTATTGGCAGTGCATACTTCCAAAATTAAGAATCTACATTATTTAGAAAAAACACATGTGAAGCTTCACATCATTTGTTACAGTTATGATTTTTAATCAATATAGTTTCTCTAATGTCCTAATCAGGAGAAACATTTTTAGGTTTTATCTGTGGCTCCTGCAGTTCATAGCACCAACTGGATAGTTATGCTTCCAAAAGTGAATATTTAATGTACTGTGATATTCAAAATTAATAATAATATGAAACTTTATTTTATATAGCACCTTTAAAGGCGGCTTCTGAAAGCAGTTTACAGAATGACAACATCGATAAATCAGAAGAATACACAAGATAAAACACAATTACAATACACAGAGGAGACCTTGGATGGTGGTTCTAAGTATAGTGGGAGCAGAGGGGTAAAGAACGGAACCAGTTAAGTAAAGGCTCTTCTAAAGAAGAAAGTTTTGAGTCTGGATTTGAAGTTTAGAGAAGGTGAGTCTCTAAATATCCTTGGAGAGAGAGTTCAAGAGCTTGGGGGCATAACAGGTTAAGGCCCTTTCACCCATAGTATATAGACGGGCTTGGGTGACAGTTAGGAGACCAGAATTAGAAGAGCAAAGGTTGCGAGGTAGGGAGTAGGGTGATAATAGTTCAGACAGGTACTGAGGTGCCAAGCCATGCAGAGCCTTATAGGTGAGCATGAGGATTTTAGAGTCCACAAGGAATTTGACAGGAAGCCAGTGCAAGGACTCCAGGATAGGAGTGTAGCAGCAAGGCTTATTAAATTAAGGAATTAAGTTTTCTGTTCCTTTGCCAGTCTCTCTCTCCTTCATCTCAGTGGTGCTTGATATAGAGAGGCCATTCCATTTGGTTCACAATTAAGGTGTTTTTCTAGCTGATGGAGTGTCCTGATAAGGAACAACTCCCCAATGCTGAGATTCTCCAGCAACCTTAATAATCTCATCTCTGGTGGCTTAAAGTCTGAGATTCCATGGAAGAGTCTGATTCAAAGTTTGTTTACAACTCTAAGGTCAGAGTGCATGGTTACTGATCATCAGCCAATCAGGAACTGGTAGGGCAGGTTAACCACGTGGGTCTCTGAAGCCCATGAAACTTTCAACCAATGAATGACCTGCAGTCCCTCCAGGTAAAAGCAGGCAACACAGAAGAGTTCCCAAGCACAGAACAGTTCCAAAGTGCAGGACATTCTCACAGCGCGCCTGCTGGACATTCGGCCTCAGGGCTCCTCCTGAACATCCTCAGACTCAGCTCGGAACACCTCGTCTTGACGTTCCGTCAAGAAATCCAGGATCCAATTACAGAGGGAGGTGTTCAGTCCCAGGTCCTGGAGCTTGACGACGAGCTTTGAGGGCACTATGGTATTGAATGCTGAGCTGTAATCAACAAACAGCATTCTCACATATGTTTCTTTCTTATTCAGGTGTGAGAGGGCAGTATGGAGGGCAGCGGCAATAGCACCTTCTGTTGATCTGTTCTGGCGATATGCAAATTGCAGTGGGTCTAGGGTGACAGGCAGTGTGGAGGTGATGTATGCTTTGACAAACCGATCGAAGCACTTCATGATAACTGATGTGAGTGCAACAGGGCAGTAGTCATTTAGGCAGCTGACTCTGTTTTTTATAGGAACAGGGACAATGGTGGTTTTCTTAAAGCAGGAAGGAACTATAGACTGAGTTAGAGAGAGATTAAAAATGTCCGAGAAGACATCTGTCAGCTGGTCTGCACATGCCTTCAGAACGTGGCCAGGGATGGCATCAGGGCCAGGAGCCTTCCGTGGATTGGTCTTTTTAAAAACTTTACATGATCAGTGGGTTTCCGTCTCGGATTTCTTGATTCTTCCTGACTGGATCTGCGTTGCTGACCTCAAACCGAGCATAGAATGAATTTAGCTCATCAGGCAGACTGATAGCTGTGTTGCGTTTTGTAGTCTGTAATGGTGCGTATAGCACTCCACATGGTTCGTGCGTTGCAGCTGTGGTAATATAACTCTAATTTAACTCTGTAGTTGTATTTAGCTATTTTGGTAGCTCTCCTGAGGTCGTATCTGGATTTTTTGTATTTACCCATATTGCCAGAATTGAAAGCAGCTGTCCTAGCTTTCAGTTTGGCGCATATCTTACCATTTATCCACTGTTTCTGAGTTGGATATGTGCAAACAGTAATCCTGGGAACCACGTCTTCAATACATTTACTGATGTAGCCAGTAACATAGTCTGTATATAGATTGATATTATTTTCGCCAGCTTCACGGAAGATCTGCCAGTCAGTGTTAGCAAAACAGTGATTGAGTATAAAATCTGATTCATCCAACCAACGTTGAATGGTTCTTAACGCTGGCCTCTCCTGTTTAAGCTTCTGCTTGTAAACGGGAAGTTGCAGAATGGAGGCATGAAGTAAAGCCAGAACTAACTAAACGGTCTTTAGAGAGTCTCGCCAGCGCGCCGCAGCAGAAATCTTTCCCTCTTTCTACGTCCCACAGGACCAGCACTGCCTGGAACCGAGCCAGAGAGCGCCGATTGGACAGCAACAAGCCTGCCACTGCTTCTTTGTGCCTGCAGGAGATCTGAATCCCCACAGATTGGATGAGTATTCAACATTCTGCTTACCGCTCGAGAATTCAATTGTTACCTCAACCAGAGTTGATATCAACTTAATTCCTATGTGTGATGTACTTGTTTTGAGTATCTAGTGTAGAAGTTGTAACCATGTTCGTTTCCGAAACGGTCTAAATGAATGATATACTGAACCTATGTCCCCCTTGGTATTTGTAACTCTTCATGATTGAATATATACCTGTTGTATTCTGTTATCACTCACGATAAAATCTGTTATGTTTATATGCACATTTTATGTATTAATAAATGTTTTTTCGTGTATTAGTACCCATGTGTGTGCGTTGTTTGAGTTATCCCACAAGGTTGGATTCTAATACCATCAAAAGAATCATTTTGTGACTTACTGCTACAATTAATAATTGTCCCAGTTATGCACAAACCCCTACATTTACTGGTGCCTCGTGAGAGGATACCTACAGGAGTAATGTGAACAATTGCACTAAACCTCATCAGGATTCTGGCTGCTGAATTTTGGACATACTGAAGTATGTTCAATGTAGATTTGGATACCCCAGGGAGTAGAGCATTACAGTAGTTAATTTAGGAAAACATAAATGTGTTGATCAGCTTTTCAGCTACAGTTAGTGATAACATAGGATGTAAAAAATATGTTTTGACAATATGCTGTACATGTGGGTTGAATGTTAAGCCCAGAATCAAATACTACTCCAAGGTTTTTCAATTTAGACTGAAGCTCAGGTACAGAACCATCTACAGATAGGGTTACAGGATTGGCTTTACAATGTTGATGGGGGGTGCCAATAAGCATGACTTCAGTCTTGTCACAGTTAAGATGAAGCACATTTTAAATCATCCAAGTTTTTTTATATCAGAGATTCAATTAGATAGAATAGAGACAGCCAAATCATTGTCAGGTTTGGTATGGATGTATATTTGAGTATCATCAGTGTAGAAAAAGCTGACTTTTTCATAAACATGTGGAAAGTGGAAACATGTAAATGCTGAAGAGCAAGGGGCCCAGTATTAAGCCCTGAGGAACACCAGACCTAACAAGACCAATTTCTGACCTA